TAGCAGAACACAGCTACACTTGCCCATTCAGGTATGACTTGTTTAGCTTCCAAAGCCTCGCCCTGGATCAGTGATTCTAGAGCCTCGGACCATATGTCTGGGACTCTTGATGTATTTTCTTACCTTTCTCGCACCTCCACATCTCAGACAGTTACACTTGCTAATGGTTCTACATCTCCTATTTGTGGTGTTGGTGATGTTGATCTCTCCTCATTGTCTTTAGCATCTGTTTTATATGTTCCTAAGTTCCCTTTTAACCTTATGTCTGTTAGCAGATTAAATAATTCATCAAACTTCTTGTGCCTACACCCCGCAACAAAATGGTGTAGCTGAACGGAAAAATAGACATCTTCTTGAAACTGCTCGGTCCTTGATGATCAATATGCATGTCCCAAAGCACTTTTGGAGTGATGCTGTTCTTACATCTTGTTTTTTGATAAATCGGATGCCCATGTCAATCCTTGGAAGTCAATCCCCTTTCTCCGTGTTGTTCCCCACCTTGTCTCCCTTTCCTCTCACCCCAAGAGTCTTTGGTTGTGTTTGTTTTGTTCAACACTTGGTTTCTGGAGTAGACAAGCTAGATGCTCGAGCTACGAAGTGTATTTTTCTTGGATACTCAAGGACTCATAAAGGGTACAAGTGTTATAACCCTAAGTTTCATAAATTGTTTGTGTGCCCTGATGTCACCTTCTTTGAATCAGTTCCTTTATTCTCTGACGCCGGGGTCTCCTCTTCTCCCTCTGTGGTTCCTCCTTCTGTTCCTGTTGTGGACCCCCTTCCCGTTGCTCCCACTCCTACTGCAGAGGCACATCATATGCCTGTTACTACAGAGAGGCCGCCAATTACTCGAGTGTATACCCGCAGAAGTGCTTCAGCTCCTCCTCCACTTCAGCACCCATCGACAGATCCTACTACTGCTCCTTCTCCCTCAAATCTTCATCTCCCTATTGCTTTGCGGAAAGGTAAACGTACTTGTACTTCTCATCCCATTTCAGACTATGTTTCCACTGCTCACCTTTCTGCTTCTCATTGCAAGTTTATATCATTACTCTCATCGGTTCCCATTCCCAAGACAGTACAAGAAGCCCTTACCTCTCCAGGGTGGCGGCACGCCATGGAAGAAGAACTCTCTGCCCTACAACATAATCACACGTGGGAACTCACCACCCTTCCTCCTGATAAGCACACTGTTGGGTGTAAATGGGCCTATACAGTGAAGCATCGTCCTGATGGCAGTGTGGAACAACTGAAGGCACGGTTAGTGTCCAAGGGCTATTCTCAGCTATATGGTGTGGATTATATGGAGACATTCTCTCCTGTGGCTAAAATTAGTTCAGTTCGGGTGTTGATCTCATTGGCTACTATGTATGATTGGCCTCTCCTACAACTTGACATCAAAAATGCCTTCCTACATGGTGATTTTGTTGAGGAGGTGTATATGGAGCAACCACCAGGGTTTGTTGCTCAGGGGGAGGCTGGTAAGGTGTGCAGGCTCAAAAAGGCAATCTATGGACTGAAACAATCTCCTCGTRCATGGTTCGGCAGGTTCAGTGAAGTGGTGAAGGCCTTTGGGATGAAAGTGTCAGGTTGATCTTTCTGTGTTTAGCTATAACTCAAAAGATGGAAAAATCTTGCT